ATCCATGTCTTTATGGACCTTGCTTTGTGCACTGGTGCACAGTCATGTTGGAAGAGGAAGGGGCCAGCTCCAAACTGTTCCCACAAAGTTGGGAGCATGGAATTGTCCAAAATGTCTTGGGATGCTGAAGCATTCAGAGTTCCTTTCACTGGAACTAAGGGGCCAAGCCCAGCTCCTGAAAAACAACCCCACACCATAATCCCCCCTCCACCAAACTTTACACTTGGCACAATGCAGTCAGACAAGTACCGTTCTCCTGGCAACCGCCAAACCCAGACCCGTCCATCAGATTGCCAGATGGAGAAGCGCGATTCGTCACTCCAGAGAACGCGTCTCCACTGCTCTAGAGTCCAGTGGCGGCGTGCTTTACACCACCGCATCCGACGCTTTGCATTGCACTTGGTGATGTATGGCTTGGATGCAGCTGCTCGCCCATGGAAACCCATTCCATGAAGCTCTCTGCGCACTGTTCTTGAGCTAATCTGAAGGCCACATGAAGTTTGGAGGTCTGTAGTGATTGACTCTGCAGAAAGTTGGCGACCTCTTCGCACTATGCGCGTCAGCATCCGCTGACCCCGCTCCGTCAGTTTACGTGGCCTACCACTTCGTGGCTGAGTTGCTGTCGTTCCCAAACACTTCCATTTTCTTATAATACAGCTGACAGTTGACTGTGGAATATTTAGGAGCGAGGAAATTTCACGACTGGATTTGTTGCACAGGTGGCATCCTATCACAGTTCCACGCTGGAATTCACTGAGCTCCTGAGAGCGACCCATTCTTTCACAAATGTTTGTAAAAACAGTCTGCATGCCTAGGTGCTTGAATTTATACACCTGTGGCCATGGAAGTGATTGGAACACCTGATTCCAATAATTTGGATGGGTGAGCAAATACTTTTGGCAATATAGTGTATGTTACTACAGTGGACGCTAATGTATCATCCTGCCACTTGTCAAACTGCCACCTACTCCTCAGCCTTTGCAAGTGACTTTTTTTTCCTCAAAAAAAAACAAAATGGCTGACAGAGGAGCACATGGGTTGTGAGGGAGAGGAATATCTGCTCATTCCTTCTATTCTAGGCGATCCTTGCAGGTAAAAAAAATATGGGGCCATCAAGTAACAATAGTTTTCTTTAAAACAAAACAAAACAAGGTTATATCAGTTGCACAAATGCGCATTGTCCACCCAAGTGGACATGTTACCAACTCCCTAAAGAAAGTATATTTTTAAAAAAAATTTATGAAAATGTTTTTTTCATTCATAAAGAGTAATAAAAACACTTGGTAAAAAAATCATAACATATACTATCGTAATTCATGCATGAAAGGGTTAAAACTCATGTAGCCGATAACCGATATCGATACCGATGTTAAAGCTGGACAAAAATAAGTAGTTATTGAAAATAGCAGTTTTGTTATCCATTTCTGACACTTTGAAAAATAATATACTCAAATATATTTTTATATGCTGATATCAAATAGATTTTTAAAAACTTTAGAAACTCAGAAGCTGATCAAATATCGGGTTAAATATCGGTGGGGTGGCCGATGTCCGATATTCAGTTTTAAGGCCGATACCGATAGGGGGCCGATTATATCGTGCATCCCTAAAAAAATGTCTTAAACTAAGTGTAATTACTCTTGATTTACTTAGGTAAATCAGATGATATGCCAATGAAATGAGGATTTTTTCTCTTAAAATAAGACAATTAGATAATATGCACTTAAAATAAGACAATGTAATTGTGTTTTCTTATTTTAAGTGTAAATTGTCTTGTTCCATTGGCAAAATGTCTCTTTTATGTCCTCAATTCAAGAACAAATGCACTTATTTTAAGAAAAAATCTCATTTTTTTCAGTGAGGGGTGGCCAGTGATTGGCTAAGGGTGGCCATGGCCCCTCATTTAGCTCCGCCCCTGTTTAAAAATCCTAAAGAAAACAGAGTTTAAAGGGTAAAAAAAACACAGATTTTAATTCTGAACGTCTTCAACTTAAACTATTTTTCCAGCTTTTGAATACAGATGAAAGACAGGAAGAAATTAGGTGAAGTTGCTGCTGGTCTTAAAAACTCTGTGAAATGTTTGTTTTCATTGTTTTTAATAAAAAAACTTCAAACAGGTTGTAGTATAGACAAGTACATAATAGAACAGCTTTACTTCTGTTCATTCTACTAAATTCCTCACAAAAAACACAAAATGATGTATTACAAATTAGAACATTAAACAGAACCAATAAATATATTTTCAGGAAAGAAATGATATAAAAACAGTCATGGAACGACTGAAACAGCAGCTCAGCTTCTAACCAATCACAGCATGACGTCACTCAGATGTTTAGGCCTTGATTTTTCTTCTCTTTCTGAAAGATTAAAGATCATTTATGATGCATGTTTGTGTTTTTTGACTGAAAATAAATCTAATAACATTTGAATAAAACATTTAGTAGAAAAAAGGAGCAAAAGTTTCAATGAAAACTTCAGATTCATAAGAAATATTTTAATTTCAGGATTGATTAGTTAGAATAAGTGAACCGTTGGTATGAAAGATAAACCCATGGGATTATAATCTGCCAAATTAAGACTGAAATTAAAGTTTTTACTGTACTTCAAATGCTCAGAAGTTTGACGAGTTGCAGAAAAGGTTTGGATTCTGAGTGGATTTGACATTCAGACATTTTAAAGTTTCCAGATTTGGTTAAATCTGAAACGGAGCAGATGATTTTTAAAGTGAGAAATAATCCACTGCCTGGCGACACTGAAGAGACGGGAAGCAATCAGTGCCAAAAACACCAAGTTAGAACAACAATGAGGGCAGACTTTATGGGAAAATATAAAAATAAAGATTAAAAACTAATTATAAAGCGATAAATGGAAGAAAGAGGAAAGGAAGGCTGATTATAGGTGGATTATTATAAATGGGTGTTTAGTTTTCAGGTGGATATGCTGTTTATTTTATGTAAAAAACTTTTTTTAATCCAAACTTGTATCATAATTTCTTTTATTTTCCAAACTATTATTTTTTTATTGGCTATTTTATCCATATTTATGCTTTTTTTTCCTCCTACTGTTTATATTTGATCACTGCTGTACTTTAGGAAAAGGAAATGTTCATTTACTTTCTGAAAAGCTGCACTAAACTAAAATTAATTTGGTTTGTATAGAAAAAGACAATAAAAGTTGTCTAAGGCTAATGTTCTAAACATCTAAATTTAAAATAAACTAATTTCCAGCAGGAGTGGGCGTCATTCGTATCCTTACCTGTGAAAAGTTTCTCTTCATGATCAGAAGATTTCTCGTTTAAATTAATAATTTATGGTTTTATAGTTTTTACCAGAGTTTAAAATTGAGCTTATTTTTCTCTTTTTGCCGCTTTCTACGGAGCCCCTAAAGGGACATGGAGGGAAAAAATATAGTTTTGGGAGATCCCGCAAACCTTTTGCGAGATCTCATAAAAAATACACTTTTGCTAGATCCCACAATACTTTTGCGAGATCTCGCAAAACTATTGCGGGATCTTGCAAAAGTATTGCGAGATCTCGCAGAAAAAGAACTTTTGCGAGATCCCGCAAAACTTTTGCGAGATCTTGTAAAAAATACACTTTTGCTAGATCCCACAATACTTTTGCGAGATCTCGTAAAAAATAAACTTTTGTTAGATCCCACAATACTTTTGCGAGATCCCGCAAAACTTTTGCGAGATCTCGTAAAAAATAAACTTTTGTTAGATCCCACAATACTTTTGCGAGATCCCGCAAAACTTTTGCGAGATCTCATAAAAAATAAACTTTTGCTAGATCCCACAATACTTTTGGGAGATGTCGCAAAACTATTGCAGGATCTCGCAAAAGTATTGTGAGTTCTCGCAAAAAAAGAACTTTTGCGAGATCTTGTAAAAAATACACTTTTGCTAGATCCCACAATACTTTTGCGAGATCTCGTAAAAAATAAACTTTTGTTAGATCCCACAATACTTTTGCGAGATCCCGCAAAACTTTTGCGAGATCTCATAAAAAATAAACTTTTGCTAGATCCCACAATACTTTTGGGAGATGTCGCAAAACTATTGCAGGATCTCGCAAAAGTATTGTGAGTTCTCGCAAAAAAAGAACTTTTGCGAGATCTTGTGAAAAATAAACTTTTACGAGATCTCGCAGAAGTTCTTTTTTCCCTCCATGTCCCTTTAGGGGCACCGTAGATTTCTATGTGAAATTGAATTTCCCTGAAGGAATAATCCTGAGGAATAAATCCAGTCTAAACCAGGGATTAAGTCGAACCTCTGAAGTAAACAGAAATGTTTCACTCCATTTATTAAGATATAACGCAATTACTTTCATATTTAAATAAACATAATTATAAATTTACATTAATTTGTTTATTCTTTTAATTTTACAGCAAAATTAACATTTATTTCACGTATTAGATCAATCAAAACATCTACTTAATTATGCAAATTATTCTCAGGGATCAGAGCATGGATTTTTATGACCGCCCCCTTGGTGTCTCGAGTCCTCCCAGGGGGTCCCGACCCTCATTTTGAGAACCTCTGCTCTAAAAACAAAAAGTTAAATCAATCAGGATTAAAAAACATTACTTTTCCTTTAGAGCAGAAAAAGATGAACTAGATGTCATTATTACAAGATGTAAAGAAATAGAAATATTTTATGTAACTGGTTTCCTGAAGGAGCAGATTTTAAATTTTGTATTTTTCTGGCAGAAAGATTAAAGAATGAATGTTTTTATTTATTTAATCACCTTTTTCGGCTATGATGGGAACATAACGTCAAATATAAACAATAAAAACTGCTTAGACACATTTCAACCTATATATGAATTTCTGTGGCTCAGATCAAAGGCATCGCCATGGTAACGTGTCAAAGAGGTGACTTTATGCAAAACCTGACATTTTAGTTTTAATTCACAATTTTTTCATCTGCGTGATGAAGAGGCTAAACCAGCCAATCAGAGCCCAGCAGGATGAATAAGGAGGCGGAGCAGCTGATGGGTTCAGTTCCAGCTGATTTATTCTCAGACATAAACAGACTTTATGGTAAAAACCACCAAGTTCAAACATTTTCCTCTCTGCTACAAAATAAAGAGAAATGAAATAAAAACGCAGGAAGTTCATTTCATCGTTTTTCCTTCATATTGCACAAAAAATAATGAGCAACAAAAACAAGAATGTGCTGCTGATGAAGTGATAGAAAAATAATTAAAATACGTAACAGAAATGTCCAGTTTCTCCTCCTGCTCTCGTTACAATCAGTCACACAAACTTTTCTTTTCTTTTTTATCTATTTATACACATTTACACGGCGAGCAAAGATCCGTCTGTCTGGACGCTCTTTAAAAACAACTGCAAGGCTTTAAGTCAAAGAGCAGAACCGGAACCAACAGGAAGAAAACAAACAAGTGCCTGACATTCCCTCTGAATGTACAAAAATATGCCTGAAAATAGTTTTTATTATTATTATTTTTAGAAAGATGAGGTATGTTTGGTTTGCTGATATCAAAAAGGATCAGTTTGGGTTTCAGGAGCTGAAAAAATAGACGATAAGAAAAAAGTTACATTGAAGACCTGAAGTCCTGCAGCTGGACCAGGTCCTGGTTTCTGGATCAAATTCCTGGTTTCTGGATCAAAGTCCTGGTTTCTGGATCAAAGTCCTGGTTTCTGGACCAGGTCCTGGTTTCTGGATCAAAGTCCTGGTTTCTGGACCAGATCCTGGTTTCTGGATCAAAGTCCTGGTTTCTGGATCAAAGTCCTGGTTTCTGGATCAAATTCCTGGTTTCTGGATCAAAGTCCTGGTTTCTGGATCAAAGTCCTGGTTTCTGGATCAAAGTCCTGGTTTCTGGATCAAAGTCCTGGTTTCTGGACCAGATCCTGGTTTCTGGATCAAAGTCCTGGTTTCTGGATCAAAGTCCTGGTTTCTGGATCAAAGTCCTGGTTTCTGGATCAAAGTCCTGGTTTCTGGATCAAAGTCCTGGTTTCTGGACCAGATCCTGGTTTCTGGATCAAAGTCCTGGTTTCTGGACCAGATCCTGGTTTCTGGATCAAATTCCTGGTTTCTGGATCAAATTCCTGGTTTCTGGATCAAAGTCCTGGTTTCTGGACCAGATCCTGGTTTCTGGATCAAAGTCCTGGTTTCTGGACCAGATCCTGGTTTCTGGATCAAAGTCCTTGTTTCTGGACCATGTTGTGGGTTCTGGATCAAAGTCCCAGTTCTGGACCAGATCCAGGTTTCTGGATCAGATCTCGGTTGTGGACCAAAGCCCTAGTTTCTTGACCAGGTTCTGGTTTTGGACCACATCGTGGGTTGGGGATCAAAGTCTCGGTTCTGGAGCAGATCCAGGTTTCTGGACCAGGTCTTGGTTTCTGGAACAGGTTCTGGTTTAGGACCAGGTCCTGTTTTTTGGATCAGATCTCGGTTGTGGACCAAAGTCCTGGTTTCTGGACCAGGTTCTGGTTTTGGACCATGTCGTGGGTTCGGGATCAAAGTCTGTACCAGGTCCTGGTTTCTAAACCAGGTCCTGGTTTCTTGGCCAGGTCTCGATTCTGGACCAGGTCCTGGTATCTAGACCAGGTCCTGGTTTTACGCTGCTTGCTGGTTCCGGGTTTGTGGGTCGGACCTGAGAGACAGAAACTAAACGGATAAAAACCCTGTTGGAGAAAACGGTTCCTTCTTTGGGTCCCTGTGGGTCCGGGTCCTCCGGGTCCGGGTCAGTCAGTAGGTGAAGACCAGGTCTGAGAAGTTGGCCTCCAGCCAGTCTCCAGCGATCATCTCGCTGAGCTCCGGGGTGCAATAATCCGGGAACTCGAAGTGGGAGCCCAGGCTGCCCTCACAGTCCAGGTCTTTGTCCACCAGGGACAGGCTCAGGTTCCCGGAGGACGAGGTCCAGGGGTCCCCCAGGGAGCCCAGCGCCAGGTCGGCCCTCTCCTCCGCGGGGAGCTCGTCCAGGTCCTCCCCGCAGCAGGAGGAGGTGGATCCGGAGCGGGAGGAGGATGCGGGTGAGAGGGAGGCCGGGTAGGAGGCGCCGCCCTGCCGGGTGATGTTCTTGAAGCTGTAGAAGAGCCGCCCGGAGGACTCGGACTGGACCTGGAAGCTGAGGCGGGACGGTTCCTCCTCCTCCTCCTCCACCTCCTCCTCCTCGGAGTCTTCCTCCTCCTCCTCCTCCTCTTCATCGTCGGTAAAGTCCCGCTTGCTGCTCTTGAACCCGGAGCTCACCATGTACCGGTAGCGGTGCTCCTGGCTCTGCGGCGGGGGGCCGGCCGCCCTGCCGGCTGGAGCCGCGCTCTTCCCGGCCTTCAGCTTCTTAGCAGCCGCGGAGTTTTTAACCGCCGACCTGCCGCCGCTTTTCTCCGGGGACTGAGCGGAGGACTTCCCCGCTGGAAACGCGCAGCCTTCGGTCTTGGGCTTCTTCTTGGGCCGGTACTTGTAGTCCGGGTAGTCGGCCATGTGCTGCAGGCGGAGCCGCTCCGCCTCCCGGATGAACGGGATCTTCTCGGTGTCCTTCAGCATCTTCCAGCGCTTCCCGAGCCGCTTGGAGATCTCCGCGTTGTGCATGTCGGGACTCTGCTCCATGATCTTCCTCCTCTCGATCTTGGACCAAACCATGAAGGCGTTCATGGGCCGCTTAATGTGACCCGAGGCGGTTTTACACCAGTCTGGCTTCAGCGGCACGGCGCTGCAGGCCGAAGCCGCCAGCAGCTCACCCTCCTCGGTGTCCGTCGCCTCGCGGGACTCCTTGGTGATTCCCGCTCCGGGATGCTCCCTGTGCTGGACCATGGTCCCAGTCTGTTCCGGTTCACCGCAGCAGACTCCGGTAATCCACCAGCAGCACTTTCTCTGCAGTTCAGTCCGGATTTAAACTTGTTTTTCTTCCTTCCAGACGTGGAGCTCCGCTCACACCAGCAGCATCCCTCCTTCTGCTCTCACGCTCAAAAAACCGGCGTCTAATTAACATGCTGAAGTTGCGCGTGACTTTTTCCACTCCGACCATTCAGAGCTCAGCGAGGGCGAGACTATCCCGCCTCCGAGAAGCTTCTGAGCCAATCAGAGCTCAGAGTTCACTCCCACTTCTCCTCCCACCGCCGACCGGCCGTTATTTTAATCAAATTTCAATGGATAACTGAAACTGATGTTTAATGAGTTTTTATTGGTGTTCAGAGACAAAACGATCACATAATCAATTTTTATTTATACAGCCTTTAGCTTTATAAGAGGATTTTTTGCCAAATATGCTTGTTTTTAAGGACCTCCAAGGAAATATATTATTTAAATGTAGCAGAAATATTAAAATGATATAAATAAGCAGACATTCATGCAACTATTAGAAATAGTACCACTACTACAGCTAATACTGCTGTTAATAGTGATGATTGGGCAAAAAATTATTATAATAAGGGGAGTGTTGGTCAGTGGCGCCTCCAGAAATGTTTCATGGGGTGGCCAGATGGGGCCACTACAAATCCTGGGATGGCAAACTGAAACTAAAAGCCATAATTTCAGGTTGGGGAAGATTCTCAGTCATCCAGGTCATTTTCTTTCCAAAAAAAGAAAATTAAAAACAATCCACTGGATTTGTTTCCAAGTTTGAAGATGTTTCGCTTCCCATCCAAGAAGCTTTTTTTTTAAAATTCGACATATTTCTATTGAAAAACATTTTGAATTGCAAAAGGGGAATGGGAAGCACAGATCAGTTTTCAAAGGGTTGTGTAAATATTGTCATTTTGTATACATTCTGTATACACTTCCTTAAAGTGCAGCAGTGATCAAAAATAAACAGTTTGGGAGAAAAAAACCTGATGCAAAAAAACAAACAAAAAAAACTGATAAGGAAGTTCAGAGCATAAAATATATATGGTGCAAATAAATATGCAGTACTTTGGTTCGGGGCTATCAGTGCGATGCAGACAGTATTTAGAGCAGTTTGTAGGTGAGCTGCAGCTCTTGTGGAAAGTTGAACCTCCCGTTAACAGGAAGTGCAGTCTCTTCCAGGGGTGGATTTAGGAAATTTGGGGCCCTAGGCAAAGACAGGCAGGGGGCCCTCTGAATTGAGAAGACAACACATAAAACAGACCCATTATACGGATAGAGAAATTTTAATAGAACACACATCCATTATCTGTTCTAGGTTGTGTCCCTCTCTTCTTGTCCCTTTTCTTCGTTTGAGACACACTTAATATTATAAGCATTCTGATGGTATTTTAGCAAAAGGATTTTTATTAAAAACATGATTAATGTGCAAAAATAAGGAATAGTTGTATTAACCATACACGTAAACAGAGTTTTATGGGACCCTCTATAGTTTTGCTGCTATAGGCTTAGACTGCTGGAGGACATAGGGACCCCTTTTTCATCATTCTGCTTCATTCTATCTCTATTCTCCCACTCTTCAGAATCTGTTAGTTCAATATCTAATGTTCTGCTCTCTCTGCTTTTTCTCATAGTAGCTTCATCTGGTCTGTTCCTGTTTGGCTGTGACTCCATCCTGGAGAGAAATATCAGCTGTGCTGCTGCCATCAACACCTTTGTTTCTAGATGTTGGAGCTTGGCCTGTTTTCCAGTGTAGTCCTGTTTCTCTGACTGTGACTAACTGGATGTGCTCTCTTCATCCTCTGACATGGGAGCTGGCTTCACAGTTGAAACAGCTTTCAGAATGATAAGGAGAGGTAGTTCAGGGGGTGCCCTCTCTCCTCTCCCCTCCCCTCTCCTCCCCAGGTTGTTCTCACTGCACCATGTGACCCTGCTTATCTAGGCTCATCACAGTCCTGGATCAAACCAATAACAGTCGTGTCACCTGCTAAGTTTCCCACACAGATCTTCTGAACCGCAGGAGAGAAGAGAAGTGGGACGGGAACAGATCCCTGAGGGACGCCTGTACTGATGGTTCCTGTGTGGGAGGAGATGGAGACAAGACTCTGGGTTAAATATATGATTTCAGAATTTTCAAGTGAGGAATTTTGCTAAATTACTCATGAGAAACAAAAGAGGATTTTTTATTTGCTGCTTCCTGTCACCATGGACAGTTATTGCGAGCAGAGTGGATTTATTTTGCTCGTCCAAAAAGCAGCTGCAGTTTGCAGCAGCACTGCGATCACGCCTGAAGGCAGGTAGAAAAAAGGAGAAAGGAAGTTACTTTGAAATAAACTCATAATCAGATGACTTTGAGGCATAAAGTATCTTTGGTGTTTTGATAATCCAAGCAAACAGTCGAGGTTTCCTTTTTGATAAAGCTTCTAGTTAGAGTGGCTCAGGTTATCCTGATCTATCTCTATAGTTCTGCTGCTATAGGCTTAGACTGCTGGAGGACATAGGGACCCCTTTTTCATCATTCTGTTTCATTCTATCTCTATTCTCCCACTCTGCAGAATCTGTTAGTTCAATCTCTAACGTTCTGCTCTCTCTGCTTTTTCTCATAGTAGCTTCATCTGGTCTGTTATAAATTTTGCAGCTTGGCCTGTTTTCCAGTGTAGTCCTGTTTCTCTGACTGTGACTAACTGGATGTGCTCTCTTCATCCTCTGACATGGGAGCTGGCTCGGAGCTCGTCTGCCTGGCTGTGTGTTTCCTGGACTGGGCCGCCTGTGGAGCTGGTTGACAGTTGCCTTTTGTATCTATGCTTCTTTTTCTATGTCTGCTTCTGTCTCCTTGAACCCCAGTGGGCCTCAGCAGATGGCCGCTCACACTGAGTCTGGTTCTGCTGGAGGTTTCTTCCTGTTCAAAGGGAGTTTTTCCTCTCCACTGTCGCTACAAGCATGCTTAGTGTGGGGGATTGCTGAAGAGTCAATGAGTCGATGCAATCAGCTGGTTTTCCTTAGATGGAAAACTTTGAATCAATCTGAGAATGCACATTCGCAGGAAAAGATAGTTAAAGATCCTCCTCTATATCATTAATGAACCGATTTTTGTTCCTTTTATTGTGCTTTATTCTATTAAAGACAATATAGAGTGTTTAGCTAATGAAAAAATATAAAGAAAACAGGAGAATTCCTCCAACAAAGAAAAACAATTCAATAACTTCATCACAACAGAATAAAAAAAACAACACTTTTATTTGCTATAATCTTTACAGAATGACCTTCTTCTCTCTACTAACGCCTCTAACGGCTCTGATGCGCTTTCATCACCATAGAATGAGAAATTTTTTGTATCCTGGTTTGCAGCTGACTTTCAAAAGTGCAAAAAATATTGATGCAGGATCTGCAAGTTTGCACTTTAATCAGGTTTTATTGTTCTAATTTTGTATCATAAACACTGGATTTTTTTAAATCTTTAAACCACCAGTCAGATTAAAAGGGAACAAGCAGCAACACGCGGCACAAACCGCTGCTTTTTGCATTAAAAACTGGAGGAAATCTTCCCAGTTAGTCTGTTTAATCAGGTTTTTACATGTGAAATAAGCTGCAGCTGCTGAGACAATCAGTGCTGTCGATGGGACCATCGATTAGCCTCAGCGTGTGTCAGCAGTCATTTACATGCGTGAGCCGAGCTGTTACTCGGGAATGCGGCTGTTGTTGCAGAGGCCTCCGGAGGTCAGAGGTCAGCCCGCTGCTGCAGAGGTGAGAATCACTCAGGTTGAGGCAGGAAGCAGCAATAACGTCACCCGCAGATTGATTATGTGGTTGCTGTGGTTACGCAGCACCGAGAGTTGATTGGCTGCAGGCTTTAACGAGGATCGGTGGGAAGAATTCGTCTAAAGGGAAAAATAGTTTTTCATGTGACGCTGGGAATGAAATGAATATTAATTTCACCAATAAAGTAAAATCAAAATTATTTGAAGACAATAAAGATACAAAAACTAATTAATGAATAAAAATGGTAAAAATTTAAACAAGTAAATATTGGTTGACAAATATATTGATTAACATAAATAAATATCGAGTTGATACTGAATATACCTAATAATATGAATAACCAGGGAAAAAAGATGTTAAATGGAAAGTGCTTCTTCGTCTTTTAACTTTATAGGTATTTACATATTAAAACAAGATAAAAAAAAAGCTCCAATGTTGACTAAGTTTCATGAACATAAAACCAAAACAGCAGATTTAGGAAATTTGGGGCCCTAAGCAAAGACAGGCAGGGGGCCCTCTGAATTGACCCATTCTCCAGATAGAGAAATTATCTGTTCTAGGTTGTGTCCCTCTCTTCTTGTCCCTTTTCTTCTTGTTTTCCTCTCTATGTTTTGTACTCAGCTGACTTTTCATGCTGTCTCTAAAGGAATGAAAGATTTTTTCCAAGCACTAAGCTCACTTAGCTGATTGCTCCTTCCTGTGTTTCCAAAAAGGCCAAAGTAAATAACCCAGTCCTTCTTTTCACTGTAGACAAGCCATGATCTGCTTATCTGTTCTCCATTTTTCATTTGGATGAAATAATAGCTGCATGAATCATGACAGCAGACAAGATAGAGGAGAGCAGGAGGCGGGGTTACCAATCTACTCGCTCTGGAGAGCAGAGTTCGCTGCTTTTAAATGTTGTCTCCAAAGTCTCCAGTAGCAGAAAAAAGTCTCTAGATTTGGCGCTAGGAGCTTTTTAGAAATCAAAGTGCTAGAGGGGTCTGAAAAGTGGCTAAATATAGCGACTAAAGCGCTAAGTTGGCAACACTGCTCTTTGCATGGTTTGTTTTCAAATGGTTTGCTGCTGTCTGTTTGGACCTTTCTGAACATGTGCAGCAAATGGACTGATCCAATATGGAGGACACTGAAGGGGGGGGGCTGAGACACACTTAATATTATCAGCGTTCTGATGGAATTTTAGGGAAAAGATTTTCATCAAAAAAATAGTTAATGTGCAGAAATAAGGAATAGCAGTGCTAGTGGGGTCCGAAAAGTCACAAAATATAGCGACAACAGCGCTAATTCCAAAGAGTTTTATGGGGCCCACAGGAACTTGGGGCCCTAGGCTACTGCCTAGTATTGCCTAAAGGTAAATCCCCCACCCCCCACCCCAACCCC